CTCAGGCTGGTGTCAAACTCCTGACCTTGAGCGATCTGCCCACCACGGCCTCCCAGAGTGCTAGGATTACAGGCATGAGCCACCGCACCTGGCCTTTTTTGTCTCTTTTAAGGACATCTGTCATAGGATTTAAAGCCTACTCTCACCAAGGATGATTGCATCTTGAGATCCTTTCCTTAAATACATTTGCAAAGACCGTTTTTCCAAATGAGTTTACATTCACAGGTATTGGGAGTTATGGCTTGGACACATCTTTTGAGGAGACAGATTTCAATCTACTACAATGCATATTTAAATCTTTTAGAAAATAGAAAAGTCAATTTAAATATTATTGCCAGGTCAACATATTATAAAGTAAAACAACCAATCGAAATTATAGAATTTTGGATATTGAAGTTACTTTCGAGGGCACCTGAAGTCAGGGTGTCTTATTTACATGACTCTTAGTTAGAATTAACATTTACAAGGAGAATTTTATGATACAAACTTGTATCTGCTTTTCTGACCTTCTAGAAGACCAAACATTTCTCCTTATCTTGTTGAGATTGTTTTCACCATAATTATGAGGGATCACTAGGGTAATGTATATACCCCGAGAGAAGCAAAAGTGAAATTGCTAATAGGGCAGCCTGAGAGCTGAGAATAAAGACAGGGAAACCCCAAATACTTCCTGGCCCAAAGAGCAAGAGTGAAATAATAAGGAGGAAATGGGGCCAAGAACCAGGAGCAAGATGGAAATTAGACCGAATGGAAATAAGTCAGAACACGCAAAAGAGGTCTTGGGTAATTTGTGTAATTTCGCAAACACGACTAAAGGTGCCTGAGTTTATCTTATTGGTTTGATGGGTAAGACAGAAGTGTTGAGATGCCTTGAAGTTTAGAACTCCCTTCGACTTCATTCATTCCCACCTAGAATCCACATTTGTACCTAACCTTCTTATTTGACTTCCAGTTAAGGAGAATGAAATGTTGCTTATTCTATTCAAGTCTAGCACTTTCATCTGTGTTCTTGATCCTATGCTCATCACCCCAATCAACATTTAGCAAAGATCAATTGAGAAGCTACTATATTCCTTCTCCTCCTGGTTCTTCCTTCTTCAAATGTCCCTCTACTCTCTTGTATCTCTTTCTCTATTGGCTCCTTCCACTACAAAGGCTATGAACATAATCAAGCCTTCTTCATAAAAACAAAAGCAAAAACAGAAAAAAAATCCTCCCTTATTTCTATATCACCTTTCAACCACTATTAGAATCATATAATTGGGCAAGGTTTGGAGTTTACTGGTTACACTTGGCCTAAGAAGAAAAGTGCGAAGGAACTTGGGGTGCTGGACAGTGGTTCAGATTGCCAATCAATCATAAGAGACCAGTTTTGTCATGAAAGAAAATTAAACCATGAGAAAAGAGTATGATAGATAGGAAGACTATGGTTATATTCAGAAATTAAAGACCTCAATGAGGTCAAAGAGATGGTAGTGGGAGAAAGAGTTTCAAGAATGAGACAGATTGAAACAAAGGCTGTAGTCAGAGTTAGGTAGTAAAGTTTAAAATTTCTGATAAGGAACAATTATTTGTGAATGATCCACAGTGTGGCCATGAATGCCCAAAATAAATTATCTCTAGAACTGAGTAGGCCAAGGAAAGCTTAAACATTAAAGGAATTGTCCACATGGACATGGATGTCACCCAAGATGAGAGCAAAATACAGAGGAATAAAAAAAAACCCGTAACACAACTCCCGAATTCTTCTATGAATAAAGGGGAATACCCAAGATCTTGAAGATCAGTAATTAACAGCAATGAGGATGAATAGAAGATTCATCAGATAAATGATACAAACTTCAAATCAAGTGGAGGTTATTATATACAAGTATGTAGTAGTAATTGCTAGGAAGTCTCTTTGAAGAATTAGAATGAGCAGTCTAGTTGTCAACTCTAACGTGGGTAGGACATTGAAGAAAAATTACCCTCCACTAAAAGGGCAGCAGGGGTTGTGTCCTTGAGGGAGAGGTATTAGAGGAGGAAATGATTATAAGAAGACCAGCTGGTAGACTGTTGCTTTGTCTAAGTGAGAAAGGGTGATCACTTGACGTACCCAGTAGCAGTGAGAATGCAAAGAAGAAAATATGTCCTAAAGCTATAAAGGAGATAGATTACTTTGGTAACTGGTTAAGTATGACTAATAAGTAGGAAAAATAAAGGCTGATTTCCAGGATTCTGGTTTAAGCATATGAACATGCTCTTTACTGAAACAGGGGGAGAAGCAGGATTAAAAGCAAAGATAATGAGATCAGTCTTACACCATGTCAAATCTGTGGTTCCTGTAGGTTGTGCCTGTGGAAATAGCCTATAAGCAATCAAATATAAATGTCCTAGGTTTATGAAAGAGACTTGGGCTACAGAGATGTATTTGAGATCCAGTATCTCTGGATGGAAGTCAAAGCCAAATGAGTGAAAGAAATCACTCAGGGAGAATGTTTTCTTTTGTTTTGTTTTAACAAATGAATGAAACCTGTTTACCTCTGTGGCTCTGCATTAATATTTTCCCTGTTGGTCAGTAGTCCTGATTGGTTATTTTGTTGAATTTGTTCATCTTCCTCTTTTTTTTATTTTTTTGCTTTTCTTTTCACAGTGCACATGTGTGGAGCTCATCTTCCTCTTAACAAAAAAAAAAATTTTTTTTGACAGGGTCTCACTGTGTTGTCCCGGCTAGAGTACCATGGCATCAGCCTAGCTCACAGCAACCTCAAACTCCTGGGCTCAAGCAATCCTCCTGCCTCAGCCTCCAAGAATGCTAGGATTACAGGCGTGAGCCACTATGCCTAGTCTTAACAAAAAATTATTGAGTGTCTCCTTTGTGCCAGCTCCTGGGAATACAATGGTGAAAAGCCCAGTTCCTTCCCCACTGCTTCTCTGATGTCTCACTACCTATGTTCAGTTATTTATTAGAATATGAGGCCAGGTGTGGCGGCTAATGCCTGTAACCCTAGCACTCTGGGAGGCTGAGGCAGGCAGATTGTTCAAGGTCAGGAGTTTGAAATCAGCCTGAGCAAGAGCAAGACTCCATCTCTACTAAAAATAGAAAGAAATTAATTGGCCAACTCAAACTATAAAGAAAAAATTAGCTGGGCATGGTGGTGCATGCCTGTAGTCCCAGCTCCTCGGAAGGCTGAGGCAGCAGGATTGCTTGAGCCCAGGAGTTTGAGGTTGCTGTGAGCTAGACTGATGCCATAGCACTCTAGCCCAGGCAACAGAGTGAGACTCTGTCTCAAAAAAAAAAAAAAAAGAATATGGACTCTTTCTCCTATTAGAATGTAAGCTCCCTAAGGGCAGAGACCTTGTGTCTTATTCTCTGCTATGTTCACAGAAACTAAGTGCATGTAACAAAGAAGGCTCTCCAAAAATATTTATCAAATTAATGAACAAAGTTTGACATACAAGATTGACAAGGTAAACTCTTATAAACCAATACAACAACCGGCACAAACGTCATTGTTATTATGGTTAAATTTATTTTCAATTTATTAATTGAATTAAACCAGAAAAATAGGCAAATAGAAAATAACAATGATTCCACCTTGCAGCAGTTAGGATGATTACTATCAAAAAAATAAAAAATAGGCTGGGCACTGGTGGTGCACACCTGTAGTCCTAGTTATTTATAATGCTGAGGCAGGAGGATCCCTTGAACCTAGGAGTTCCAGTCCAGCCTAGGCAACAGAGTGAGGCCCCCAACTCAAAAAATAAGTGCCAACAAAGATATGGGAAAATTAGAACCCTTGTGCACTGTTGGTGGAAATATAAAGTGGTGTATCTGCTGTAGAAAACAATATGGAACTTCTTCAAAAATTTAAAAATAGTATTACCATATGATCAAGCAATTCCACTTCTGTGAACATACCCAGAACTGAAAGCAGAGACTTGAAAAGATATTTGTACACTCCTGTTCACGGCAGGCTATTTACAATAGCCAAAAGGTGGAAGTAGCCCAAGAGTCCATCCATGAATGAACTCATAAACAAAACATGGCATATACATACAACGGAGTATTATTCAGCCTTTAAAAAGAAGGAAATACTAACACATGCTACTGCATAAACAAAAATGGATGAAAGCTGAGGACATTATGCCAAGTGAAATAAGCCAGTCACATAAATACAGATACTGTACGCTTTCATCTAGAAAAGTCAGATTCATAGAGACAGAAAGTAGAAAGGTGGTTGCCAGGGGTTGGGGATAAGGAAGAATGGGGTGTTATTGCTGGACAGGTACAGAGTTTCAGTTTTGCAAGATAAAGACTTTCGAGAGATGGATACTGATAATAGTTGTATAATGACATCATGTATTTAACACTATTCAACTATACACTTAAAAATGGTTGAGATGTTAGATTTTATGTGTATTTTACTACAATTTTTTTTTTTTTTAGACAGTTTCACTCTGTTGTCTGGGCTAGAGTGCCGTGGTGTCAGCCTAGCTCACAGCAGCTTCAAACTCCTGGGCTCAGGTGATCCTCCCGCCTCAGCCTCCGGAGGAGCTGGGACTACAGGCATGCGCCACCATGCCGGACAAATTTTTTCTATATACTTTTAGTTGTCCAGCTAATTTCTTAATTTTTTTTAATAGAGATGAGGAGAGGCACTCTTGCTCTGGCTGGTCTGGAACTGCAGAACTGACCTCGAGCAATCCTCCCGCCTCGGCCTCCCAGACTGTTAGGATTACAGGAGGGAGCCACCACACCCGGCCTTAATACAATTTTTAAAAAATTAAATTAAATAAACAACTATGACTTAATAACAATGCACCTCAATCAAAACCAGCAAAGAAAGGCTAACCTCCGACCCGCCCAGCCCTTACTCTGCTAGACCACAAGGTGTGGAAACTGGAAACCCAGCGGGAGGCAAGGGCACGCCTCAGGCTCCGGCAGGGCGTGGCCGCAGGTTAAAGCGGGTCAACCTGGCTAGGCTGCCACTGCGCAGGCGCACATCGCAGCTCCCAAGCCGCCTTTGAAACGTGCCCGGAAGTGACGTCTGTAATGCTGAGACAGATTCAGGGAAGATTTGAGCAAATCGCACTGTGAGCTGGACAGGGGTCGTGCCGCTGCTATGAGCTGCACCATCGAAAAGATCCTGACAGACGCCAAGACGCTGCTAGAGAGGCTGCGGGAGCACGATGCGGCCGCCGAGTCGCTGGTGGATCAGTCGGCGGCCCTGCACCGGCGGGTGGCGGCTATGCGGGAGGCGGGGACGGCACTTCCGGACCAGGTCAGGCAGAGGGTATGGGTCCGATGCCCTCGGGTTCTGGGCAGGTGAAGGGTGAAGAGCGAGGGAAAATGGGGACTCGGTCTGGAATTTATTCTCCGTGTCAGAGGGCGGCGTTGAGACCTTTCTGTGGGTTCGGGACCAAGAATCCTGCCCTGCAGCCCTGACTCCTGCCTCTTCAGTTGTATCTGCCACTATTCTGTTTACGGCGCGCTTAGTCTGTCTCTGTTTGTCCAGTATCAAGAGGACGCATCCGATATGAAGGACATGTCCAAATACAAACCTCACATTCTGCTGTCCCAAGAGAACACACAGATTAGAGACTTGCAGCAGGAAAACAGAGGTTAGTCAGGCCTTTTTGTGTAGTTATGATTTTTTTCATATCCGGTAATAATTTGAAAGTTCTTGTAAAACTCCCTTAACAGTTCACAAAATTGCACATGATATACGTATTTCCAAGGCAGTACTTTTAATAGGAGTAATAGGAGGTTTATCCCGTGCTGGCCGATTAACAATAAAGTTTGTTAGATTACCCTTTTCAAGGTCATCTGACTGTATTTATAAGCAACTTACCCAAGAGTTGCTTAGAGTGGAATTTTTGCCGTTTTTTTTTTTTTTACGCATCTCCAGATGTATAACAAAAAAGTTCACAACAACTTTAAAAAAATAAACACTGAAGGTAGGATTGAAGGTTTTGTTTATGTTCTGTGCAAAGTGGAAGAGCAGAATTTTATCCTCAGGGTATATATTCTTAGGCTTCAGAATTTTATCCTCAGGGTATATATTCTTAGGCTTGATGAGTACATTATTAATGATGGTCGTATTAACAGTTGTACGTGTATCAGTTTACAGAGGCCTTCCACAAATACATCATTCTACTGTATTCTCATATCTTTATTTCGAGGTAGACAAGCCAGGTATTTATTACAAGGGATTAAGAAATAGGCTAAGAGAAGTTAAATGATTTTCTTATGAGTATTAAGCAAATAAGTCACAAAACTGAACTCAAACCCATGTCTTCTGATTACACATCCTATATTGTTTCTACCAGACTTGCTGCCTCTGCCTAGAAAGTTATCTTTTATGTAGACTTTAACTGTTCAGTTTTATGGACTTAAACACCGATTTACAACCTTGGATTCTTAATATCTCATGGAGTGTCATTAAATTCCATCTGTTAAGACTTTGGATTTGGGAGCTATTTCTCAGACATCACTGCCAAGTTGGTTTATTTTTTTAATAGAACTATGGGTTTCCTTGGAGGAACACCAGGATGCTTTGGAACTCATCATGAGCAAGTATCGGAAACAGATGTTGCAATTAATGGTTGCTAAAAAAGCAGTGGATGCTGAACCAGTCCTGAAAGCTCACCAGTCTCACTCTGCAGTAAGAAACTTTGATGAATAAATTCTAAATGAACTGAATTGAAGTCTTGAGATTGTTTTAGATTGTGTGCTTGTTTTTGAAGAAAAGTAAGCTTGTTTTCCTTTCACATTTAACACATTTATTGTTTATTTTTCTATGGCTTTGTAAAGATACAAGTAGAAAGAATGAGATAGGGTCTGCTAAGGTGGGACTAAGGTTCTTCCCTTCCTCACCAAGATCTCTTTTCCAGATGTTAATGAATGCTTAGCTCTTCCACCAAATGTTATGCCATTTAGTGTTGAAGCTACTCAGTAAACACTTGGTTGGTTATTGTACATTTCACTGACTGTAAGTAAGCTCCTTGGTTGTAAGGAGTATGAATTCATATATTAACCCTAAAATAGTACCTGGCAGATAGCAGGCAGTCAGTAAACCTTTATTAAACTGAACTACATAGCATCATACTATGTTGATAGGGGAAAGAACTATGTTTTCTTAAAAAACTAAACATGGCATAGTTTCTACACTTTGATTGCTTATGATTTAACCTGGAAGATGGTAACTGTTCATACATTTATAGAGTCCTTCATAGTTGTCATTGTATACTCATGTGTACTATATCATTTAATCCTGGACTTATAGATTGGAGCATCACTATTTGCTACTGTGAAATGTAGTAAAAGATAAGCTTCATCTTAGGCTCCATTGAATGCATTTTATGGACTTAACAGAAGTTTTAGGGAATAGGGATATTTTAAATATCTTGAAGAGAAAAATAAATTTTATTTATTTATATATCTAGAAGATAAAACATGAACCATGAAGAAGATAGAGTTTAGCTCATATTGGAATACTTTCTAAGAGATATGTCCAAAGATAGAATAAGGCACCTTGGAATGTGGTAAGCTTCCTGCCAATAAAAGTATTCAAATTTAAGTTAAACAGCCACATAGAGATATTGTCCAACATCCAAAGGGCAGTTAAACTACAATTAATCTTTTGAAAATTATTTGTGAATACCACAGGATCATTTTATTATGGGTTTACTTCTGAGTACTGAAATTATAGTGAAACTCCAGTGTAACTTCTATAGCATAGATTAAATGAATTCTTAAAAATCATAATGCATATGTTCTTTATATCTATAGAAAAGATGACTTTTTTACCTTTGTTTCCTTAATATCGTCACAGGAAATTGAGAGTCAGATTGACAGAATCTGTGAAATGGGAGAAGTGATGAGGAAAGCAGTTCAGGTGGATGATGACCAATTTTGTAAGATTCAGGAAAAACTAGCCCAATTAGAGGTAAGATTGTTGCTAATTTAGGTTCACAGTATTTCAGTTTTCAGCGTCTAGAACAGGCATTCTCAAACTAAGGCCCGCCAGGTGTTTTTGCTGCCGTAGCCTGTCCTGCTTAGCAGCCGACTTGTCCTGGGCCCACAGTGCGCATGTGTGGAATGTGCGCTGCACTCTCCAACGGCCCTCCAATGATCTAAGGGACAGTGAACTGGCCCCCTGTTTAAAAAGTTTAAGGACCCCTGGTCTAGAAGGTATGCCATCCTAACACTACAGTGTATTGATGTTTTCTATATGTTCATAATTTAAAATTAAAATTCCTCCTTCATACCCTTTTCAAGAAAGGAAATATAGTAAACAGCAATCAATGAAAATACCAACTATGTATTGGCTAGAAGTTAAGATATTATCATATTCGGAAGGTAGAGAGAGTGTAAGGTACAGGTTATATGTGAGCTAAACATCCCTGATCTGGCCAGGTGCAGTGGCTCACACCTATAATCCCAGCACTTTGGGAGGCCAAAGTAGGAGGATACTTGATGCCAGGAGTTTGAGACCTGCCTTAGAAACATAGTGAGACCTTGTCTCCACAAAAAATTTAAAAATTAGCAAGTCATAGTCTCACACACCTGTAGTCCCAGCTATAGGAGGCTGAGGCAGGAAGAATGCTTGAGCCCAGGAGTTCAAGGTTACAGTGAGCTGTGACCTGACTACTGCAATCAGTTTGGGCAACAAAGCAAAACCTTGTCTCTTAAAAAAATCCCTAATCTGCCATAACAGGAAGTCAAATAGATAATGTCTAAAATTGATCAGTGCCTGGCACAGTGACTCATGCCTGTAATCTCAGAAGTTTGAGAGTATGAGGTGGGGGATTGCTTGAGGCCAGGAGTTTAAGACCACCCCGGGCAACACAGTGAGACCCTGTCTACAAAAAATAAATTATGTTCAGGAAGTAGCAGTAGAGGCATATTATTTGAAATTATGGAAATAAATACCAAAAGAAACAGATAAAAGTATTAAAGAGTGGTTGCCTTTGGGGAACAAAGCCAAAGAACTGTTAATTTTATAAGCCTTATAGTCTTGATTTTTCAAAAGCTATTTTCATGTAACATTTTGATTAAACTAAGAATATATTATACAAAGAAGGGCCTGCGGTGTTAGTGTGCTCATAAAATTGTTAGGGAAAAGTATTTCAATAGATGGCTTGAGTGTCATTTATTACATGGTGCTGTCATGGGCCCACTGAGAAATGACCAGAGAGAAAAAGATAGGGTACCTGCTCAGAGTCTAGTGGAAGGAAAAAGACTAGTCCTTTTTCCTTGGACAAGTTTTTGGAGTTTTGTGAGCCACAGTATCCTCATCTTGAGTAGAATATGGATGTATGTAAGCCATGATACCTACCCTACAGATTGTTGTAAGATAACATACCGTGTTTCCCCAAAAATAAGACCTACCCTTAAAATAAGCCCTAGCAGGATTTCCAAGTATTTGCGCCGAAAATAAGACCTAGTGATGGGCGTGGCTACACGGCATATCTGCACAACCCATGCATGTCATGGCCGAGTGGGAAAGAAGACTAGCAGCCCTTCTCATCTGCCCCATAGTGACAGCTACTATCCCAGAGGTGACCCGAAAGGTGCGGGCAGCCCCACCAACAAGGTCGGCTCCCCCTGTCAGGTCCCAGCCATCCTGTGCATGCTGCAAGCTGAGGCTTTGAAGGGAAAATAACACATCCCCCGAAAATAAGCCCTGGGGTGTCTTCTTGAGGAAAAATAAATATAAGACCCTGTCTTATTTTCAGGGAAACACGGTACCTAACGTACCCATGTGTACCTGGTATTTGCTCAATAAATGGCTTCTTCTCCCCCTTTCCTTCCATTCTCTAGAACTGTAGGACATCTAGGAGAGGAGATTAATTAGACTGAAAAGATTATGAGGAATTTTAAAAATAGAAGAAACAATAGTAAAACTTGTGGGAACCATGGAGAATATGATAAAGAATTCCTCAACTGGAGAGAGACCTTTTTTTCCTTCTTTGTAGCCCTAATACTTGGTATACAGAATTAAATGAATGTTTGTTAAATTTACAAGTATCTTAGAAAATTCTTAGCTGTGGATTTTTTTTGTTTTCTTAAAACTTTTTAAATTAAAATAATATGTTTTCTCCTGGTGCAAAATAATGTGTTGCGATATGGCTTGATAGTAAAAATACCAAAAATAAATATATACCTTTTTTTTTTTTCCAGCTTGAAAATAAGGAACTTCGAGAATTATTATCCATCAGCAGTGAGTCTCTTCAGGTCAGAAAGGAAAACTCAATGGACACTGCTTCCCAAGCCATCAAATAACTGAACTCTGATGGCTAGAGATTATCTATCAAGGAAGGAAGTTATTATCTTCCCATTCAAGTATTGTCCATTCAGTGTCTTGCCTCAAACTGGATTTAGTATTGATTAAAGGTATCAGTTGGCAATTTAAAATTTCCTTTCAATATTGGCTGTCCACAAAAGAGTTTTCAGGTGTATTAGTACAAATACACACTGAGTTTCACCATTCCTTTCTCCAAAAGATCACTTTTAATTTCCATTTCTAGGACCTTGGTTTATGTAAACTGTGTTTTCAGCTCATTTTTGTTTTTTACATCTCTAAAACTGTGAGCATTTTATTATAAACCAGCAATTTTATTTATATAGCATTGTAAAATAAACTTCTAAGAGTTTTTAAAAGAGATTTAACTTTTTAAATCTATTTGGCATAAACTTGGATTTTTTTCCATTTGACAAAAGTAATACAATTCCACAGAACTAGACTGGCATATTGTCTGATTTGTAATGTCATTTCGCCTGTGAAGTTTTAAATCTCTCTGGTGCTAAGAGTTGGCACTTTGTGACCTAGTGTCTTCACTCTTGAGAGAACCTACTGCTAGTCCCCAGGAAACATACTTGAAATAAGTCAGCTATTTTTTTCTCAGTGATAGTATCATCATCATGTTCAAAGTTCATATTGTTCAAAGCTGAGGAACTTGTCCTGTGTATGTGCACGCACACGTGCACTTAGTTTAAATGCTAAAAGTAGCTTTTATTTATTAAATGTAAGTAGTCAAAAACAAAAAACACATATAAGTAGTCAGTTTTTCAGTTGTGTCCTATTAGGAAATCTTCCATTTATGTAGTTTACCCAGTGTGAAAGAGGATATCATAAATTTATTAACATCCTAGTTCTTGGGTACTACATTCTCCTATTTAATTTATATATAACTTACATCTTATAGTTAAGAACCATCATTTATTTGGATGTCTTTCATTACTAGCACTAGTAGTTGGCTTTTTTTTTTTTAAGATCCATTTTCTACACAGAAGTAGTTTTATTACCTAATGAGAGTTATTACATTGATAATGCTGAATAGACAGCAACAAAGCAATATTGTGATTCCAGTGCTGGGTGGTCAGTTAGGTTCACTCATTAACTCATTCCCCTGTCTGTTTATTCAAATCTCAAATTTATATATTCCATGTTATACTATCATCTATTAAGATTTGCCCAAAAATAATTGAAATAATGAATGCTAAGCCTGTCAATATTTTTCAGTAACATTAAGTATCATACTGCATGGGAGATACCCAGTATCAAAGAGTTTTTTAGTGCTTTATGTGATATAAATTTCTTTCTTACAGCTATAAAGAACTAAGTCCAGTTAAAACAACAAAATGCCTCTAAGATCTGCCCCTAAGCATCTGATTCCAGTAATACCAATAGACTTTGCCTATAGTAAGGGCATTAATGAATAGGTATATGTCATTATAGAATTTGTCAAATTTCTGTTGATGTCCTGCATAGAATTTTACTGAAACACACTTCACCCCAAAGTGTGAGCATTTAAAATTTTATTTCCCAGAAGTAAGTAAACTATTAGCCCATCTATTTGCCTTGAAATATGCCCTAAGTCACCCCACAAGTCCATTCAGGAGGCAGGTACCCTATACCATTTGTCAGCCATGGCCAAACGTGCCATGGTAAGATGTCAGTAAAAATGATAAAAGTAATCAAATGGCCCATTAAGGCATGATATGGTGTCCCTTTCTCTGCCTTGTGTTCTTTTAGAGCTATTTATAAAGTTCTTTACATCTCAGGTATCAGGATAAATCTGCAATGTTAACATTTCCCCCTAGGAAATCAAAAGCTTGAAGTGTGAGTCTAAAGAGCTTTCAGTGCTCTATATAATATAAATTCTGGCTGGTATTAATGCTATGAAGATAATGTGTAGTTAAAAAATTGAGTGGGCAAGGAATGCTGTTCAGTATGAGTGGATATTAAAGTTTCTTTTGCAGTGGATGAAGGAACTTGACTGGTTTGTAAAACTTTAGTTCAAAATTATCTTTTTAAATAAAAACCTCATTTGGAGATTAGCTACTTTTAGTCAGTAATGAATAATTATTAGGCTGTGCAGAGGGTTTTTTTTCACATGTGTATTCTAATAACAACCTTGTGAAGTAGTCACGACAAGGATTTCATAAATAATTTGTAATTAGCTCAGTATATTCAGCAGTGTAACTCTACAAATGGTACTTTGTATTAGTAAGTTATTAACTACATCAGAACTCATGCATAATGCTTATATTAATACCTTATGTATAGTTCAATTTGAACACCGAAGGTCTGTTGCAGTGTTCCTCAAAATGTGGTTCACTGACCTACTGAAATCAAAATTTGGAGATGGGGTCCAGGAATTTGTATTTTAAGAATCATCCCAGATAATTCCTAAAGACACTAGTTTAGGAATGTCTAGGCTACAAGCCAAGTGCTTCATTAGCAGTTATGAACAGAAAAGTAGGGGGGGAGGAGGTGTTGACACTATATCCAAAGAAAAGCCTGGAAAGAGAAACAAGTATATATATAATTACAATGCAGAGTGATAAATCTAATATAAGTATCTGTAGGATACAGAAGAGGGACTATTTAAACTTGAGAATCCAATAGAGATAGCAGTGGGTAGGAGAGCTAAAAAACCTTGGTGCCACAAAAGCCAAATATAGATGGTATCGCTGATAATGGCTACCATCTGTTGAATGCTTTACTGTGTGTCAGGTACTGTATTATATAATCTCCATTTCAACTGTACCTCATTTTACAAATACTCAGGCACAAGGAAGTTGTTATTTGTCCAAACTGGAACCATAATTCAAACCCAGGAAGACTCTGAAACACATTCTTAACCACTAACGATGCCTTTCATTGCTATATACTGCTCAGTGTTCAAGTGGTTCTTGATTAACTAAATCTGTTTTTATTAGTAGTGCAAAAGAAACACCACACCTCATATATTAGAAAAGGATCATGAATTCAATAAATGGAGTCTTAACTAATGAGATATATGTTTTCTATAACAGAGTAGCTGAGAGTATGTGTACATGCAACTGAAAGGAATAATGCTTAGTCAGTGGTCCTTGCTACATACAGGAAAGGGTGCAGTTCTGTCTTTCAAATCTGTCTCCTTACCATATTGGCTTTCATCTTTCATACTATTTACTTGTGGTTGCTAAAAGGTTACTACTGAGCTAGATGGCATGCCCATGTTAAAGGCAGGAAAAAAATAGGATATGGTCTGTGCCAGCTATCTATATCTCCTTTTATGAGGAAAAGCAAAGCTATCTCAGAAATTCCAAACAGACTTCCCTTTGCCTTATTTTCCTGACCAGTTAAATGGCCACTGCTAGCTGCAATAAAGGCTAGGAACATAGCTGCCCCAATAAAATCAGTATTCTATTAGCAAAGAGAGACAATTGAGAAAGCAAATAACAGTGTCTGAATGTTACACTGTCAAGTTCTTTTTTCTGGAATATCGGCTTTAACAAGTATAAGTAGTAGTAACTCCATGAGTGTGTTGATATTGAATAGCAATGGGCTGTAGCAGACATCTGTCATTTCTTTTATGGCTGCCCAGTATCCTAACTCTTGTGTTTAGGGAATCTCTCACCAAATGAAGCAGAGCCTTCCTCCCTCCTAAAGAATCTGTAAGTGCCAGATATATGTTTTCTCAGCCTCCTTTCTCAGCTAGGGAAGATACATCTGCCTTAAACTTTAAAGTTAATGATACAAAGATACCGGGAACCATGCAGAATCCTTTGAAGATGCTGACCAACAACATTAGCTACTTTATTCAGATCCACAGAGAACCGCAGAAGTGATTTGTTTAGTAACAACATTCAGTTTCCAGAGTTGGCAAAGTCAGTGGTGTAAGCTATAGTGTCTGCCCAACAGTGGAGACAAGTCAGGTCTTCACTGAAGCAATTCTCAGATGTTATTAGACACTGTAGCCTCTAGTTCTGGATCCTTGGCTATCCTAGAGATCCTGAGAATTAATTTTAATAAAATCATTTTTTGTTAAAATTAACCTGACTTGCCTATCAAAAGCCCTTATAAAATAAGCATAGTTTTAAAAACAACCACACATATATAAATTTTATCAACACTTTATACATAATTTTGCACTTATTTTAATGTAATATTTGACACTTACAAAAGGATATGTGTGGCATGCAAATAATCAAACATAATAACTCATCACCTAACTTAAGAATTATAACATTACCAGTACTTTGCATTTATTTGAGTTCCTCTCCTATCTTTTCCTACCCCCTCTCTTTAATAGTTTTATCACATGCAAAAGACCTAAAGTACATATGTATCCCTAAAGTGACTTATTTTTTAGTTTTGTTCCTCTTTGAACTTTTGAAAAATGATATCATACGGTGGGTAGTCTAGGGATTTGGTTTTTTCACTGAATGTGTTTCTAAGATTGAGTGACTTTTTTTCACTCAACATTTTCTAACGTTGTATTATAGCTCTCATTCATTAATTTTCATTTATGTATATTTATTGCATAATTATATATTGTTAAGGAATACATACATATATAATAAAATTATACATTTTTTAAAAATCTTTGCTTATATCTGACTTACTAATTTTTAATTCTTCCATCTACTTTATTTATATTAAACACATTTAACTATAAGCAGTCATATTTCATATTTTACAGTTATTTCAATGGTATGCCTCATGGCAACTTTCAGAATGAATTAAGGAGTATTAAAGGGTATTATCCACCAATGTTTATAATAGAAGCAGATACTGCTTTTTTTTTTTTTTTTTTTTTTTTTGAGACAGAGTCTCGCTTTGTTGCCCAGGCTAGAGTGAGTGCCGTGGCGTCAGCCTAGCTCACAGCAACCTCAAACTCCTGGGCTCGAGTGATCCTTCTGCCTCAGCCTCCCGGGTAGCTGGGACTACAGGCATGCGCCACCATGCCCGGTAATTTTTTCTATTATATCAGTTGGCCAATTAATTTCTTTCTATTTTATATAGAGACGGGTCTCGCTCTGCTCAGCTGGCTTTGAACTCCTGACCCTCGGCAATCCGCCCGCCTCGGCCTCCCAAGAGCTAGGATTACAGGCGTGAGCCACAGCGCCCGGCCCAGATACTGCTTTTTAAAAAAAAAAACAAAAAACAGTTATAGACAGAGTCTCACTCTTGTCTCCCAGGCTTGGGTTCGGTAGCATGATCATAGCTCACTGCAGCCTCCAACTCCAGGCTCCAGGGCTGAAGTGATCCTCCCACTTCAGCCTCCCAAATAGCTGGGACTACAAGCATGCACCACTACACCCGGCTAATTTATGTTTTGTAGAGATGGGGTCTCGCCATGTTACCCAGGCTGGTCTCAAACTCCTGGGCTCAAGTGATCCTCCCACCTCAGCCTCCCAAAGTGCTGGGATTACAGGCTTGAGCCACCACACCTGGCCAAATAATGCTTTTTGTTTTGTCACTCTCCAAGAATGCTACAGGCAGAGCCTTCAGAGCTTCGGTTAACTACAACTTCATTCAACATTTCATCTAGCCTCCCAGAAACATATGAAATTAATGGGTTGATTTCTGTATGTTATTGATCCTAAGATTCATGTTTATCTCATATTTTAACATCTCTGAAATTGGGATATGTCTTAACCCCCCAAATTGGGGTTGTGATGTTGATTGTAAGGATATGCAAAATTGGTTTGCACTCCTGGTGGATGACTGAACAAAGGCAATCTTGATATTTCAGTCAACAAACCAAAGACCATTTGAGAAAGGAATATGGGTTTTGGCTGTTTTCTGTGAATTTTCTATTGATTCCTTCTGACCAAGAGTGCCAGCATAAAAATTTAGAGTATGGCTGTAATAGTTTTCTATTGCTGTATAACAAATTACCACAAATTTGGCAGTTTAGAGCAACACCCAATTATTATCTCACAATTCTATAGGTCATAAGTCCATGCAGGGCTGAAATGAGTTCTTTTCTAAGGGTCTCACAAGGCTGAAATCAAGGTGTCATCTGAGGCCAGCACCCCCCCTAAGGCTCTAGGCTTTCTCCCAAGCCACATGGTTTTTGGCAAAATCTATTTCCTTGCAGCTGTAAATCTCATAGAGACTGTCTTCAAGGCTAAGAAGAAATCATCTCTCTGACTTTACTTGTCTCCCAACTGTAGACTCCCTTTTAAGAACCCACTTGACAAGGTCAGGCCCAACCAGAATAATCTCCCTCCTAATTAACCCAACTGATTAGAGATCTTAATTACATCTGTAGTAATCCCTTTGATATGAGTGACATCCTTTCATATCTACATGTCCCACCTATGCTTGAGGGGATAATACAAGGTATGTACACCAGGCAGTGGGAATCTTTGTGGCCATTATGGAATTCTGCCTACTACAATGGCTTTTGGCAGCTTGGAATTAAAATCCTGGAAACAAGTACTCTTTGAGGAAATACTGCTTTACCAATGTTGGTGGTGGCCCCAAAATAATTGTGTGGAAAAACCTGGATGGACATCTTTGAGCCAAAAAGAGATTCACCAAGATCCACCAATGGATGCTAAAATTAGTGAACTAAAGCTGAAACAGAACAGGATACTTACATAGTCTTTGTCTTTGTATTAGTTTTCTAGGGTTGCCATAACAAATTACCACAAACTAGGTGGCTTAAAATAACAGAAATTTATTGTTTCATAGTCCTGGAGCTAGAAGTCTGAAATTAAGGTGTTGGTTCCTTCTGAAGGTTCTGAGGGAGAATGTGTTCCCTACTCGTCTCCTAGCTTCCAGGGTTGCTGGCAATTCTTACTGTTCCTTGACTTGTTTCTAGATGCATCACCCCCATCTCTGTCTTTGCATGGTATTCTCCCTATATTTCTCTCATGTGTGTCCCCAATTCCCTCTTCTATGGACACTACTCATTGGGTTGGGGCCTACTCTAAGATGACTTCTTAACTTGATTTTATCTACAAAGACCCTATTTCCAAATA